TACAAATATCTATCATATATACATACATATATATATGGTGGGTATATATATATATATATACCCACTGATCAAGTATATACGTGAACGAACGTACAACTTCCCTTCACGTGGTTCGGGCAGCATCTGTACACGTCAGTGCGCACCTGGGTGGCGATCTTGTGTATTAAATTATCGTCGTGTTGATCTTGGACGCGAGCAGAGGATCGTTAGTTTTGCTCCGGGATCCCGCGATCGAGGACGCCGAGGATCCGTTCCTCTCTCAGCGTTCGTCCGTTCAACTCGTTGCTTCCAGCAACCGACCTCCCCCTCCTCCTACTCTTCTTCTTCTTCTTCTCTTCATCTTCTTATTTTTCTTTTTCTTCTTCTTCTTCTTCTTCTTCTTCTTCTTCTTCTTCTTCTTCTTCTTCTTCATCCTCTTATTTCTACGTCTCCCTTCATTCTAACCGATCTTTTTCCAGATATATAAATGCATACATATTCGTAAGATTGTACGTAAGATTATTACTCGTACTATTTCTCCTTCTCCCCACTCCTTCCCCTCTCTCTTCTCCTTCTCCTTCTCCTCCCAACTCTCCAGCCCACCTTTTACGTATACACACCTGCCGTAATAATCATTTCGATGACACAAACTTGCGCTTTCACTTGAAATATACATATATATATATATATATCTACTTACTTATATATTTATATGTATGGTATGCATTAATATTTATTAAGCATCGATATCTCTCTTGAAAACTTTCTTTTCTTACGAGTAAACTCTTAATTCAAAAGATATTTTTCTAGGAAATGTTTATGTTCATCGGAAGAAAGAACACAAGAACCGGGTCGTTTTAAAAAGAAAGAAAAAGAAGAGACAAAAAAGAAAAAAAAACAATAAAAAAGATAAAGCAAATGCGTACGTGATTCCCCTTACTCAGGTGAGGAGTAGTCCGTAAACGTCAAAGATTGGGCGAAAGAGGAGGAAAGAGAAAAATAAAAAGAGAGGTTTGAGAGGTTCCGGGAGCAACACGGGTGGGGCCTACGTTCGAGTAGAGAGTGAGGGTCTCAGGGTAAGGCCCAGGGTGCCTCATTGCCGCTTGATTTACGACCTTCCTCTTTTTTCGGTGCCTTTTTTATTCTTTCTTTTATTATTTCTTTATTTCTTTCTCAGCCTCCTTTCTTTTCCCTCTTCCTCTTCCTCGACGGGTATACGGTATACATATAACGTGTGTAGAGCACGTATCGCATCACGTCCCATGGCATATGTTATATGGTACTTGGTATACCGATGGCTTGCTTGGTGGCGGCGGCGGCCAATCGCCTAATTAGAGGACCCCTCCTTCCTTTCTTTTCTTTCCTTTTCTCTCTTTCTCTTTATCATTCTCTCTCTTTCTCTTCACCGTTTCTCCTTGGCACGCACCGCACGTAAAAACAAGAGTCCTATTCCGAAGCTGTGCTGCGTTCCCTCGCGAGAGTCCGACGAGGCCACCGTCGCTCTCATACGTACGATGAATGTATATATATAAAATGTAAGAATATATATATGTGTGTGCACGGAACGCCAATGCAAGCCTTCTCTCGCAGAGAGTGCCTCCCATTGGCGACGACTTCGACCGCACCTGCGATTAAGAATCATCGTATTTATGTTTTTCATCCGCCTAAATCTTTTAATGTCTCATACAAAATTCGACCAATCAACGATCCCCTATTTCTTAATTATTAACATGATATACTCGTTAACTCTATGAAAACTTGAAAACACTCTAAACACACCTCAAATAGATCATTTTATTTGTATCATCAATATACGGTATATATATATATATATTTATTTAATAAATTTTACCGAAAAATGGATTAAAAAAAGAAAATATTTCGTAAAAAATCAAACGTTGAAAAGAATAATTTTTTGTATAAAAAAGGCAAAAAGAAAAGTTTGGAAAGAAGTCGACGCCAATGGGCGGTTCTTCATAATAAGCTGACGAAGGCATTATATACATATATATATATATATATATATATATATATATATATATATATGTGTGTGTGTGTGTCTCGAGATATAGCTCTCTCGCGCGCAATTACAAGCGCGCGGGCCTCGTATGATCTTGGCGCTCAGAGGCCCTCCGGCAAGGAGCTTGTCCAGCAACTCCTTCTCACGATTGAGTCATCCGACACGGGAAAAGGACCACCTGGTGAGTGGTGGAGCCGACGCATCTAACGATACGCCGCATCGGTCGGTCTCGTGGCTTCTCCACCACTACCATTCTTCCTTACCCGTTCTCTTTCTCTCTTTCTTTCTCTTTCTATCTTCCCTCTCACCTTATGCCACCCTATCCTATCCTATCCTATCCTATCCTATCCTATCCAATCCACCGTATGTCAAGTTTCTCTACGTTTTATCTTTTCCCGCCGTGTTGCTTTTCTTCAAGCGATATATCCCGAAATGCGATAAAAAGGACTCGTCGCCTTTTCGGAAAGGACCAATACGTTTCATTTATCCTCTAACCTCTCTTTTTATATCATACTAATCTTATTTCTTTTATTATTCTTCTATACTTACAAGTAGACAAAAGTAACGAAAGAAGATAACTTTAAGAAGAATAAAAAATAAAAGGAACGAACTAACTCGCTCATTAGATTCGTCGAAGGAACTATATCGTGCGTGCATTTAGAATTCCATTTTCTCATCTTTTATTCCAAGATGATCCCGTGTCGTCTATACTCTTGGTATATACAACAAATTAATTATCAAATGTTCAAATTTAATCTTTAATCTTCAAAATCTTTATGCTCTTCATATTCAAATTCTAATATTCTAATTGTATCCGTTTAAAGGTATTGTATATCTTGTATATACAGTACTATACTACCAATGATTAAACGTACAAACCAATTCGCTTATTCAATTGTGTATTGTGTAATACATTTAGAAATACATATACATTTAGAAAAGTTTCCTGAATTTTAGCGTAATAAAAAAGAAACAAATAAAAAAATCCAAAAAGAATAATTGAAGGTGGTCGATCAAAGAAATAATAGAAGAAAATAGAAGGCACGTGAGATAGGAGAAAGGAGATAGAAGTAAAGAGAGGAGAGAGGGGATATGGAAGGGGACTCCTTCCATACGACCTCGAATGTTCTCGCGCGAACGATCCGCGTCGTGCTGGCCGCGAAAGCGTGTGGCTTTTTGCCAAAGGGTATTTGCAGATTGCACACCTGTGCGTGGCTGCACCGAGGAAAGACCTCACCTGTCGAGCAACCGGTCTCCATTGACTTTTTCTTCGTTCGTGTACCCTCGTCACACCCCACACTCCCTCGCGGGGCCCGCTCCTTCCGCCCTCCCTACACCTCCCTTTGCCTCCCCCTTTAAGTTCTGACTTGACTTAACTCGAGTCGAGTCGACTCGACTCAACTCGATTCGCGGCCTTTCTCTCTCTTTCTTTCTCTTTCTTTCTCATGAAGCAGAAAGATACACGAAGCGGATAAGGGAACACCTATGCTTTGCAAGTTTGTACGTTCCTTCTCTCACTCCTCTCTCTCTTTCTATCTCTTTCTCTTTATTTGTCTCAGTCTTGCGTTTATGTTCAAATTTTTCTTCTCTGTCACACCATTGACGGTGTGTGTCACCACTCGCGCGACATCGCAGTCGTCTAAATATAGAGCCGATTTTTCGCGGAAAAAGAAACAGCCTAAGGATGTACAATGTACATAAGTAAATACTTATATATATATATACGGATACATAAGTATATACTTGGATTGTACTCTGTATGTTCGCCGATTTTGTCGATGGCGATCCGGTTTGTGATCGTCGCTGAGGACTGACTTTCCAAAGGATATCGTTCCCACTCCAAGAATATGCTCGAGAAAGCCTAAGAAAAGTATATTCTTCGATTCGATTATTCTTCTGTACGATTCTTAGACATTGAAACTTGCTTACCGGGATCGAAATTTAAAAAAAAAAAGAGACAGGAGAAAGATCAAACGATTTATACATATGTATATGTAAAATTAGAAAGATAAGATAAGTCATGACAAATTTAAGAGATTTCGATCTTTATTAAGTATAATCTCACAAAAAGAAAAGACGTTTTCTTCTTCTTCCTTCTTCTTCTTTCTTATACATATGTGTGTTTGTGTGTGTGTGAGAAAGAGAAAGAGAAAAAGAAAGACTTTGGAAATCCGTACGAAAGCATTTAACGATCCGGACTCTGAGGACTTTCCGAGGGCAAATTATCGGGCCGAAAGCAATTACCCGGTGGGGCCTCGATATATAGGGAGGAGGAGAGCGGGTCGAGAGTTCCGAGAATCGGCCAGGGCTAAAAATAAGATCCCACCCGGGAGCGATGATTATGTTCCGAAAAAAGAGAACCGGGCGAAACCTTCTCTCTCTCCTTTCTCTCTCTCTCTTTCTTGCCAGGCGCACACGCGGTAAAGGTGAACGCTGTGGTAAAGGAGTAGGAGGAAGAGAAGTAAGAGGATGATGAGAAGGAAAAGAAGAAGAAGAAGAAGAAGAAGACGAAGAAGGAGGAGGAGGAGGATGAGGAGGAGCACACCGCGTAGATCGCGCGCAGGGGCCTCGGTTAATGAAGTTGTCGGTTGACGACGTTTACAGGTGGGGCCTGCCTGCGTGTGGTCCATTCACAGCGGCCGCCGCAGGACTGGTTAAGAGTTGCTTTACATCTTCACTCGTGAGACTCCTCGCCGTGAGAGGAGGAAGAGGAGGAGGGGAGAGGTTGTTGGTATACCTGGGAGCACCTCTTCCTCCTCCTCCTTATCCTTTTCTCTACCTCTTCTTCTTATTCTTAATCTTCTGTTCCTCTCTTTTTTTCAAAGCTTTTTAAAAAAGAAAGAATGAAAGGAACAAAAACAACAACAAAAAATCACCGTTTCTAGACGATCGTTTATCCGATTTTTGAAGCAGTCCGTTCTCCCTATGTCTAGTTCAGAATTTGAAAATGTCTTCTTTTACTTAGATTTTATTTGAATGAAATTGAATTTTTGAATTACAGATAACAGCAGCAACAATGATGATGATGATGATGCATCGCGAACAAAAAGGTCAAACATCGTCGAGAAAGCAATCCTCCTTGTCGTCGTTGGGCGACCATTCAACGGTGTATGACAGGACGACGACCAGTTACGAACTTGGTATCTCGAATTCATCCTCATCCTTGTCGTCGTTGCCTTCGTCTTCGTCGTTGTATTCGTCGTCCTCGTCCTCATCATCAAAGACGAACTGCCCAAGTCTCTTGACTGTCTTAGCATGGACGGCTACGTTACTACTTGTATCATCTTGTCTTGGTATTGCCGATGCTGGTGTCCTCATGAGTCATCCCTTAGGCAAACGCTCTTACCTTGATCTCTCTTGCAAGGGCGTTTACGATAAGAGCATCTTCGCTCGCTTGGATCGCATCTGCGAAGACTGCTATAATCTTTTCCGAGAACCCCAACTTCATGTCCTATGCAGGTAATCTATTAAAAATCCTATATCTATATATATATATATAATTCAAATTTTTATCATTATTACATACATCTGATTACACTCAAATGATTACATTTAACAAACATTTTCATTTATAATATTGCAATCTTGGCAATTGAAATGGTACGCAAATTCAATGAGGGTGTATTTAAGAACCTGATACATGACAAAATTAATTTTCAATTATATTGACTTTCATAATTTTTATTGAATCTTCTTACTTAAACCTTTTTTTTCATTTGTTGTTAATTAAATAAGATGAGAACTTATTAAGAGGAAACCCATCAATTTATAGAAATATATTTTAATAAAAAGATAACACAACTATATATGACACGTCTTTGCATGCATCAATTGATTACATTAGTATCAAATTGAAAAAAATATTTAAGAAAATATGAAAAAAGAGGATTTTCAATAAGGTAATAAAAGAAGAAGAAGATCTTTTCTCGTCGAGGTAAACAGTCGTAAATCGTAAATCGTGATCTTGTTTCTTCTCATTCCACGTTGGCAGCTCGAAACGTAGAGCCGTGTTCGTGTGGCACGCGTATCGAAACGGAATGAGATTTCTCTTCTATTTATAGCTCTCACAAGAGCGAATGCTAACGCACAGCCGTTATTAGCTGCCGTTTCTGCCGAAGCGCGTTAAGAAGGAATGGATTAACGACCGTACCGAAAATAGAATCCTGTGTTCTGTCGATTGCGAAGGAAAAGCCGGATATATTTTTCTATATAAGTTTAAACGTATCTAATAAGGACAAACGGGAAATACTTTTTCTTTGTTTTTTTTTATATTTTTTTTTTTTTTCTAAATATTGTCAAATTTGTGAGAGAAAATGTCCTAAATAATTTCAGAGACTACTCGTAAATTTGATAAACACGATCTTTTAGTAAATAAATTGTTTTTTTTTTTTTTAATATACGTAAATTGTGTGTGTGCAAATTTTACACGATCTAGTTTTATATTATTATGAATTTTATAAACATTCTAAGATCCTAATGATTCTACCAAGAATATTAACAATACTGGAAAAAATGATCTTTGCAGATACCTGGATTTTTTAAACGTTATCGATTTCATTGATCATCTACACTTTTTACACTTTCAGGAAAACTCACACAACGATTTTAACAAACGCATTTAGATCTACCGGGCAGAATGATCTCAAGATTTTGAAGGACTAACCATAATATCTCAATTGTATTCCTCATAAAATTTTCTCTCATTTCCAGAAAAAATTGCTTCACCACCGACTACTTCAAAGGATGCTTAGAAGTATTATTGCTGACGGACGAGACGGAGAAGATCCAAATGTGGATCAAACAACTCCATGGGGCCGATCCCGGGGTTTAGGTAGCTTCTTTTTTTATGTTTATGATTTCATCATTTTTCGTTTATTCTTTTATTCCTAATCCCTTTTCTCGCATTTCCTTCCCTTTCCTATTCTTCTTTCTTGTTTCTAAATTTAATTAATTAACATCCTTAATTTAAAGTACCCATCCCTTAGTCGATCTAATCACATCGATCCAAACCAATTACATTACGATACATTTTTAAAAATATAAATCATATCATATATCTTCCTAACAAAATCCTCAATTTTCTACACAAATTTTTACGTATTTTCTTTTTTATTAAATATAATTATTTACAATATAAATTGATTACGTTTATCTGTTATTTGTTGGGGGTATTTCTTGTTTTTTTTTTTTTTAACTTTTTTTTTATCTTTTCATTCGATTATTGTTGTTTTATTATATGCAATTTTTCGTTGCTTGTGTAAACGATACACCTGGACCCGATTAATGCCGATCGTACTTGGACGTATTCCTTCAAAATATCTTCTTAAAAATCACCTTTGGATCGAGAACTCTGCATCGAGAATCGAAAAGAGAGTATGTCTGTACGAAATTCTAAGTAATTTCGTCCCGAATACACATTACGTGTAATTGATTAGCAGTACTGTCAAAATATTTGTGCTAGATTGACTAAAAAAAAATGAAAAATATATTTTTCCAAAATATTTTATTAACAAATTCAAAATAATATCTAGCACTGTTAATATTCAGTACTGCTAGAAAATAGGAATACGAATCCATCCGTCTGTCCCTGATAAATATTTTTATTCTGTGACATATTTTTGACATATACAAATTTTTGTGAATTTTTTACATTGCAGCAATTTTCTATGCAAATTTTTTATCCCAGATTTTTTATGGGACTATTTTTCATGAATTTTTTTCCCTAAACACACATTTTTTAGATTCCACAAAGGGAGGAGCACGGCAAGATTTTTGGAAAATTTTTTCGCGATTTTGATCATTTTTTTGTGAACGAAAAACCCAAATTCCATGAATCCAACATTCTAACTACTTACTAAACTCATTGCCAGATTTAACTCTCTCTCCCTCTCTCTCTCACTCTCTTCTCTCTAAAAATAATTACATATACAAATTATTTGTTTGTCAGAATCGAAAAATATATTATTTTGTTGTACTTGAATATTTTTTAATTGTACAGTAAAAGTTTTACATGTTCAACATTTTGATAAGATAATATACATACCATATTTTGTATGGTATATAATAAAAAGAAATGATAATTTAACGCTCATATTACATTACATAATATTAGTTGATTGAAACGATTGTTTTTTACGGATAACGAACAAATCGATATAAATTTCATAATGGTTCCAAAAAAGAACTTGATTTTCGAAAGATCATAAAAGCACAGATTACATTAAGCACAGTTTGCTTTTTAGAAAATAATATCTTTAAGAAAATTATAACATATATATATAATATAATATATAATAATAATAAATATATTATACATAATAACATATTAATATATTTATTATTATATTATATATAATATAATACCATATATATATTATATATAAAAGGAAAAAAAAATTAAAAGAAAGATAAAAATGGATGTTAAATAAAAGAGAACGATAGAAAGACATATAGAGAGAAAGAGAGCCGGAAGATAATTCGTTAGCATCCGGTATTGACCCTCATGAGAGAGGGAAAAAGAGAAAGAGAAAGAGAAAGAGAGAGAAAGATCAATGGCCTCTCTTCTTCTCTGGTAACAGTGTGTATGATTCTGTTACTATAGATCTAATCCTGTTCGTTTTGTGGCATATCTTTTTTTTTTCTTTTTAAACAGGCAAGACTGCTTCAGCACTCAATACTTCATGAGCTGCATCCAAGCGTTGCTACTTGAGGACGAGAAGGAGAAGTTCCAAGGGATGGTCGAGTACCTCGGTCGCAAGAAGTAGAGGCGAGAAAGAAGAAGGAAGGAAGGATGGTAGAAAGGTAGGAAGAAAGGACGGAAGGATTTTGAAGGAATCAAGAAATGAAGAAAGGAAGGAAGAAAACACAAAGGCTCCTGCGGTGTTCCAAAAGACGAAGAGACTACGATAAACAAAAAACAGATGACAAATGAAATTTTAAGGAATCAACAACATGACGAAGAATTACGACGAAGAGGTGTGCATGTTTTTAAACAAGCAAACTCTTTACCGGAAATCTAACTCGAGCCGTTATCGTTCGATCATAATCAATTTTTAAAAAGAAAGAAATATTTTTTATATTTATTTGATCAGTATTTTTGATTAATCGTTTTTGCACAATATATTATTATTMTATGCAATATTAATATTTTATTCATTAAAAATGATTTAATGTCAATGTTAAATTTCATTTCTTTTTATTACAATATAAATTTTAATTAAAAAATACTGGTATACTTTTTTGTTTTGCTACTTTTTCATTGATAAATATTTTGAATACTGATTTAAAGATGTTTAAAAAATACTGATCCGATAAATATCACCCTTTAAGAAGTATTTTTCAATTATTTTACAATTGTTCAGTAATATATATTAATAATACTAAAAACCGATCATCAAGAAAAGATAGATCAGTGGTCCCCAACTTTTTTTATTTACGTATAACTTATTGACAACTAATATCATTAAATTATACATCCTAATATTTGAAAAAATATTGCAATCTATATAGTTGCTGTCATTTCAAACCTTTTTCTAGATAAATCGCATTAATACAATATAAATACAAACAAAAATCGGCAATATTAATAAATTAGTTAAATTATTATGGCAATTTTGAAAATATCAAAAAAGTACGCCATGTTGGAAACCACTGATCTATATGATATATCGAAATCGTAACAGGATGATACTCATATTTTTCTTCTTTTAATCCAACCAATTAAATTTCTTCAAACGTAAGTACTTATAATAAAATAATTTATGTTTGATCAAAGCGTATTCGTAGGAATCAAGATCTACATCCAAGATTGATCTCGATTAATATATCTTTGGATTTTTTTTTTTATTTATTTTTTTTCGTTCGAACGTCAACGAATCGCCTTGAAATTAAAATATATGCATCAGTCGTAGTCTCTTCGACTAACCAACAACGATTTAAAAGAAAATACGAAGAATAATGAGAAACAAACATACTAACAAAAAATATATACATATATACATATATATATACATACATATGTATATATGCATATATATATATATATCAAGCGAAACGGTACGATCGAGCTATAAGATTTCATCAAAACCCCATACGAATTCTAGTCGACAAAATATCTGCGCTCGCGCACTGCGCCACCTATATTTTTTTTTTTTAATGCGTTCAATCATTATTAATTATTATTACTTAATAACTCGTCCTTTTATCGTGTTAGTTATTATTATTATTAATTATTATTATTATTATTATTATTATTATTATTATTATTATTATTATTATTAATTATTAGCTAATATTATTAATTAATATTATTATTTCCTTCTATTACGTAGGTAATGACAATGCCATAGGCATTTCGGAACATGCAGCGCATGACGATGACAATTGCACAGAATAAATAGTTAAAAATGAAGAAAAAAAATTATTCACGAGTCGTCAAAAAAAAAAAAAACGAAAGAAAATTATTTTCACAATTGTGCCCATAATTATGAAAGTGGTCTAAGTCATGTATCTTTTGTTTCGAGATATTTAAAAATTTATATTTGAACACTATATGAATTCTATATAATATTGAAATAACAAACATTATCTGACGATTCATTTTTGACAATATTTTGGAAATTGCATTGAATTTATTTAGTTTAAAATAATGTGGTGCTTAATAACTGATAAACTCTTTTTTTCATTTTGACTTACATTAGAACACTTTCATAATTACGGGCACAATTATCTCTTTATCATTCCACTATATTTTAATAACGTATATATACGATTTAGTGTGAAAAAGAATTATATACGAAAGGTAGAATAAATTGCAAATGGTGGACTCGTGAATGATCTGTGCAATCTTTGTCACAAGTAAACGCAGGAGCTTAATGTTTGAGCTCCTACATATACATATTATTATTCTTGCAAATCTTTATTTATTTTTTTCTACGAGTCTAAGGTCGTATAATCTTTTTGTTTTTCTTTTTTTAATAACATTTAATAGAAAGAGAAAGAGAGAGAATAGTATTATTATAACTCGTGTGTACCTATTTAACATTGCAGCACGCGCGTATTTTATACGCCACGTCTTCGCGATAGCTTTATTTTCAAAAAAGAGAAAACACAACACGAATTTTTTAAATGTATATATATATATAAAAATTCTAAAAATGCATTCTGAAAATTACTTTAACTGACAAATAATTTTTAAAAGGTATAATTAAAATTTGTATGAATTAAATTTAATTATTATTTATTTGAAAATAGAATATATCATAAATTCTTACATACGACCTTTGAAAAAAAATTTTTTTAAATTGTCTTTTTCTCTTTTACGAAAAAAAGCAATGTGCGAAAATCCGCAATACTCTTCCGATATATCTAAAAATAATAATAATAACAACAACAACAACACAAGAAATCGTCACACGCGCACAAAACTGTGACGCGTTAGAAAGATACGAACCATTCCAAAAAACAGTATTGAAACCATTCCGCCTCTCGTTGATTTTCCTCGAACGCGTTTGTTCGAATCCTGTGTTCCCACTTCATCTCCCATTTATTTTTCCTCCTTCTCCCCACTCTTTAATCTTTCTTCGTTGGATCCTTTCCGCGTTCTCTTCGTTTGTCGAATTTAGAATCTTCTAGTACTACATATTTTTAAATAACAATTTTGATGACTTTCAAAATGAACAGAAATTTTCAATGTAGAGATCTACGTTACCGATCGATTCCGATTCTATATACGATCAGAATGCATAGAAATTTAAAATGATCCAAATATTCTAATTAACATTCCATTGTGAGAAGATATTAATTTCTCTGTTCTGAAGTATTATATATAATTGCGTTTAAGAAATTGTTAAATATATATCACGAAAGTTATTTTGTTTCTTTTGTTATTTTATTTAAAAGTATTAGAAAGAAAGATAGTTCTTCGATTTGCAAGCAATTCGTTCGTCTTTTTTCTTTTATATACATATATAAATAAAACCATGAGTTATGTAAATGAGATAAGAAAGATTATATATACAAATATTTTGTTCTTTGTTGCGAACGATTTGTTTATCATTTCTTTATTTTCTTAAAAATATTTGCTTTTTCACAAAATAAAAAGGAAATAATTAATTTCTTATACACACATACACATATATCTATATATATGCTTTGTTAATTATATAAAATTTTAATTATTGATATATTAAACAATTTAGAAAAAGAAATACTTTTAAAAAAGAAAAAAGAATGAATCGTAAACCGCACAAAACAAGTTTGAATTCCAAAAAAAAAATGTATTGTTCATGGATGATACGAGTGATTTCGACGACCGTAGAGGCTCTGTCTTTCTTCCTAACTTTTTCATCGAATTAATCTTCTATATCTAATATTGGAAAGACTTTTACGTTTCTGAGTCTCTCTTTAACTTGATATTTCCTGTTCATTATCATCTCATCATTATCATCATGTTATCATCATCGTTATTATCGCTATTATATAATGCTATTTTTATTATTATTATTATTATTATCATTATTATTATTATTATTATTAGTTATATACGAATAGATGAATACTCTAAAACATTTCACAAAAGATGACTTCTTTTTAAAATAATTCTGTATGTATAATATGTAATCTTTTTCGCTTATGCGAGAATATAGTGCGCATTCAGCAATCGCAGTAAATTTACTATTACCGCAGATACAGAAAAAGAACAACAACAACAACAAAATGAATTTACATGTAATATGTGTATCTTCGATAATAGTACGGAAGAAAGAAAGTTTTTAAAGAGAACGAAGATATTGTAAAAGAGGGTAAAATGATTATTTATAAATATATATTTACATTATATACGTATATCAAATGCGATGTATATTTATGTATGTGCATGCATTAAAAACACGTATATTCATTCACACGTAAATGAACTTGGCCTGTGTATATATATATATAATATATATATTATATACAAATATAAAAATATACTGAACAAAATGAAAAAAAAAAAAAAAAATAAAGAGATAAAACGTATGTACATGTGATCATCTCATGTACCTAATGTACAATTAACACAACACGAGTATATCCACAAACTATACTTGTTTCGCGTTAATAAACGGATCAATCCAAAATTATTATGTCTTTTTCTTTACTTTTTATCCCCTATATATATATATATATTAAATTAATTTTATTATTTATTAAATAAAAATATAAACTTGTGCGTGTAAGAGAAAGAGATAGTAATCATAAAAGTAATACATTAGATTAAAATTTCTAAAAAAAAATTAATTTATTGCATTATTCATATACCAATGTAATTATACGGATTATACAATAAAATAACTTTAAAAAAAGAATTGTTAACTTATTAAACTATTATTTGTATAATATTAATGACAGACAATTTATTATTCTATATCTTAATTTTCACTTTATTTTCACTCAAAAAAAAAAAAAAATTCTCAAATATTCAATTTCTCAAAAAACTTATAGACACATACTTACATAGTTATCGTTTGTTATAATAGCAAAAAAAAAAAATAAAAAAAAGGGAAAACAAGAATACTTCCAATCTTTTTAATTCAATTTGAAAAATATTTTTGTTAATTTTTTAATCAAATATATTAAGTACTCTATGCCCCGATGAAAAAAAATTTGATTTGTATAAATCGAAAATAGAAACATGAAAAAAAAATATCATTTACTATATAATAGAATAGTAATAAAATGTTTACGCAAATATATGATCTTAGGGCAAGTCCAAATTGATAAAAAGAGATAGAAAATTTACAAGATCTCATAATCTAATAATATTATAATTATTAATTTTATCAATCTCAAATTGATAAAAAGATAGGAAGTTTACAAGATCTCATTATTATAATTATTAGTTATCTTATTCTATATGGTATCGTGATATCTTCATTATATTTTCTTTTCTTGTTTTTATCCTTGAAAATAGTTACAAATGTATACAAGATGGTAACATTGTGTACTACCATATATGTTAATATTATGATACAGTATTCACTTGGTTTATTTTAAACGTAATCCTTTAATTCATTAAATTTGATGATATTGAACAAGTCTATATTACATTTGCAAAAGAATTATTAAACGAAAGTTATAAAAAGAAGCTTTTTTTTTTTATTCATTCTTTTTGTACTGTCAAATAAACGTCATTGGAGGATTCATGATCTTTCTTGATTTTCGGTAACTTCTAAACATTATATTATTAACGCATACATTCTTCTTAAGAATCAAAGTTATCGGCAAGTGAAAATTCTCTTACAAAAATAATTGAACTTTTTAATATTAAATTTAAAAAACGAGATAGAGGGAGAAAGAGATATTGCTTTATTTTATTGTATGTAATATTATGATTGATTTTAGACATGTGTGTTAATGAAGTGAGAGTGTGCGTTTTTAAAATTCTTTAATTTTTAAGTAAAGAAAGTAAAGAATCTTTTTTCTTTTTATTTATTTTTTTTTTTCATTTTTGTTTTTTTTCGTTAAATGAACACGTAAGAGAGATCTATATTCTTATATATTAACTAACTGGAACATTCTTCGTTTTACCTTTATATAAATAATTTAAAAAAAAAAAAACAATTAAATAAACAAATGAAATGAATAAAGTTCCAATAGAAATTTTCTCATCAAAGTACTGCGACATGGGAGACAACCTTTTCTGACGTATAAAAAAAATGATTATATATACTATACTATATACTTCACAATTAATTTCATTAATGCTAATCATTCTCTCATTGTGTGCATTCCTAATGTAATAGATTATATATGTATATATATAAATTAAATGTGATACTTGTGAAAAGAGTTATGAATTTTCTTTTCTTCTTATTCATTCCCTCGAATTACAATGTCAAAGTTGTTTATTATAAAAAAGGCACGCGTCAAGTCTGAATTGTCTATCACATCTTCTACCTTAATATTGTTAAATCGTAAAGAAGTTTTACGCAAGGATAGTAAAACTATGTTATTCCTATCATTACGTAATCATGCTGGTTTTCCATGAACACGAAATCTGTACAAGCAGGTGTATTCCAATTCTCCATGATTGCTATGAATTCTTAACTCTACGTACTCGTATGGTTTTACAATTTTAGTATTCTATGTAGAACAAAAAAGAAATGTATGTATATATAAAAATGTTTTTTGATCTTTTTCTATTTCATTCTTAAATTCAACTTACCTGTACAGGAAAATATTGTAAATTCTCATCAGAGTCTAGAAATTCATAGTCACCAAACATAACTGGCTCAGGATCATTCTGATCAGTTAAACCCTATGAAATGCAATCACATATATATTATACAATAATAATAATAATAATATATTAAAGAGAAAAAGAGGGAGAAAACGATTATAAAATATATATTTTTATTACCCAAACATTGAATTTACGTGGTGCACTCTCCATTTTCTCACTTGGTAATATAGATTTAGCTACATGTTCAACGGTAAAACCAGTTACAAATATAGAATATCGCAATTTAATCAACAAGTATCCTGGAAAACCTTGAAATGGCCAACAAGCACCGGGCTGTATCGGATTTCTTTGTATTACTGTTCGAGGATTATTATTTTCAGAATAAATTGTCAGACCTAATAGCTTTAAAGATCTTGATTTGACGCTATACATTTGAGTACATCGTGTACTAATAATTTCTCCTCCTAAAAATAAAATTCTTGATTACTATAAAAATCGACTATACAATAGAAATAATTATTTTATTATGTAATAATTAACTTCACCTGCAGTTTCTAAAGCATAATCTACACGTCCAGTTTTATCAGCATCGTATATCTTTAATCTATCATTTATTATTTTAAGAATCTTTTCATCCAATGAAAGATCTTCTTTAATGGCATAATTAGCACCAATTGAAATATCTACAAATCATATTAACAATGATATATGTGCCGGTATTTATAACAGTGAACTAAATTGGAAAAACGATTTTTATGATTTATTTTATAATATAAAATAAATCATAAATTAAATTAGTATATATATATATATATATATATATATATCTTTAAAAGAAAAATAATATCGATTAATAAACCTTTATCTGTTAATAATTGTTTTAATTTTTCAAAAATTAAAGAAAAATCCTTCGAAGAGGTAGTACTTCCAAAGTATTCCCCTAAAATATTATCGACTTCTTTGCGTAAAGTTTCAGGTACAAGAAGCTGTTTATTTGAATCACAGCACGATTTTGTCTGTGAATTTTGAGTTTTCTCCACGATTACGTCATTGGTAATCTTAAAATTAAGATTACTTATCCTATTTTCCATTTCCAATATTTTTTCCTATAAAAAATAAAATTTTGAGTATCTGTTTATATGAATTACAATATATGTATCAATAAATACTATTTACTTACGTTAATTCTCTGCAAAGTATCAATTTCATTTTCTTTTTGATTTTGCAATATCTGACTAATGTTTATTAGGTACTCCTAAACATAGATAAACAAATTGAAAATAATTACACATTAATTTTGAAAAATGAAAAAAAGGAAAATAAGAAAAAAAATATACTTACAGTTGAATAAGAATCTTCTAGTTTAGTTATTCTTTCATTTAATCTATTGATTATTACATTTAAATTATAATTGCTGCTAGTCGAATGATCTTCTTCATTTTGTGCACTCTTTTCCATAACCCTTTGTACATTTTCTAATATTGTATTTGTTTTACTGTTACTTGCCGCTTTAACTTTGAGAGTAGAAAGGAATGATTGAATGTATGGCATCCCCCAATAACCTGGAATAATATTTACAATAACGATAATATTTTCTATAAAAACATATTTCATTATTTTCAATTATTATTCCATTCTCTAGTTACAGTATTGGTACCAAAGATAAGAAAGAAACAAATTTGATATAAAGGATTGAACATTTTGGCATATTAATTTTGCTATGTAATGCGATTACTTAAAAAAAAACAACAATAAAAAAGAAACTGATGTGCTTAATTCAATACGGTAACTGAGAGAAGGATAGACGAAGGAACTCACCAATCTGATGATTGATCGCTTGTGTATGCCCAAGTTGTTGAGGCTAAGAAATTCCGCCTTATCACCAGTTGAATTATCCTCCTTCTATCCTTCTCCCATCACATATGTAATATTTTTTTTACGAATTTTATATTTAAAAAAGAAAAAAGAAATAGAAAAAAAAAGAACACTTATAAGTGACACCCTGACGTTATCTCACTACATAAATTCATTTATTTATTGTAATCACTGTTGGGTACATAGAAAAATAATTTCTGAAGTATGAACGTGCTTACACAGAGACTTTATAGAAACAATATAAGGAATAACAATATTTACATTAAGATTAACTGAAAGTCAATATTATTTTTTCATTAATATATATATATATCAAATAAATCTTTAATATTGATCAAACAATTAAAGATAAAAACTCAAATAAAAGCAATATTTATAAATATTAGTAAATCTCAATTGATATAATTGAGAATAGCAAGAAAATGCAATATATTATATCATATATTATTCATATATATACTTATGTATAGAATATATTAATATATTAAGTGCTCTATTTTATATAAACTCTCACATATATTAATAATAATTTTTTATACAAATGTATAACACAAGCAAAATGAAATAAACTCAGTAAATAAAGAAATAAAACAATCAATGAATAACACATAGGATATTGTAAAAAAAAAAAGTTAAATTTAAATATATTTAATACTTTTAGAGAAACTCAACATATTTAAAAGAGAAAAAACATCTATTAAGTTATATGAGGAAATCAGTAACAATAAATGTATATAAAATTGTATATATATAATTAATGTTACTGACAGACATACAACTATTATTAGGCACGACCACAACGTGGGAATAGTTCATACAATCATCATCACGAAAAGGATTTAAGCAAATCCTTTTCGTGATGATGATTACAAAACTAAAAATTTATTGTTAATTTTAAAAAGTTTTTTACCCTGCAAGTTTGAATATCACACGTATAATTATATTCTTTAACATTTTATATTAATATAAAATGTAAAGATATATCTTGTGATAAATCAGAAGTTGCTTTAACTAAACTATGTGATACACATTAGAGATCGTGCTTATAAGAGTCCTTATTTTTTTATGTAAATGTAACTTTCAGTTAATCACCAGATCAAATTCCAAACAGTGTTAGGTACTTTTGGCAAAGACACGTTCAAATTAGATACAGGTTCTAAGAAATAATATGTAATGGATTTGAAATATCCTGAAAAGAACTCGTATATAGGTAACGTTAACTTGGCAATTTCATTGAAAATATAATAAACCGTCTCGGTGACACCATAGTGTATATTGTGTAGATAGTCCAGGCAGATAAAGGAATGCTTTAACATGAAGTAAGCACCTGCAACAAAACGAAGAAGCAGGCCAGTCTAGGTTTACCTGTCTTTCTGATGTTCTTCCATGAAAGACACTAATGAAAAAACTATTAGTTTGGATAATAGAAAAAAAATATTAATTTTTTTATCTAATATCAAAATTTAAAATGAAGCTTTTCAAAAACAGGATATTGTTATAATAAATTAATTAAAAAAAAAAAACTCACCAGCTAAAAGAAGCAATGGAATTAGGGAAATCCATATAATTTTTGATCCAAATATGCGTTTCCTTATACCTGAAAATCTGCTTAACACCCAACAATCAAACAAATGTAGTTTGACTAATCCTAAGTAAACATACCGCCCAATAAACCACCATTGTCTTCTCCAATATGATTCTACATATAAATCAAAAACACTTTTGATTCACTCTATTTCACTTCATATATAATATTAAACTAATTAAAAAATAACAATACCATTATAACGAATGAATTCATGATGAGTATAATATTCTCTTTTTCTGGATGTTCTGATTTTAAGAAATTCAAGTGATTTAAGAAACCAAGCTACGAGAAGTATTTTAAATTTTAAAAATATTTGCGTTATCTTCCATCTTTGAGTATTTTGAAGTGAGGTTGATGGCATGATTTCATTTAATTCTGTATTAGAATCATATCTATAAGTATCATTATAATCTATAGATGGCTTTGTCCATGAAGGATACCTGGTTAAAATAATATTTTTTTGTTAAATAAATGTCACACATAAATATATGATTTTATCTTATCTCTTATATAATATTTTAAAATCAATTACAAACCTTTGTCGAATACTTTGGGAATCCGTAGATTTTGTAGAAATAACTTTTCTATGCATTGTGTATTGTTCGATATGTGTTTTTTTTAACATTGTTGATCTTGATGAAAAATTAGAAACACTGGCACGTGAGGAAGTAGATAGATTATCTACAGACTATAAGTCAAATTGAAAAAAAAAAAACAAGAAAATCAAATATATTAGATACTTCCTAGATCTGTATTTAAAAGTTTAGACAACATTACACCATCAAACTTACTACAAGATTTTGATCAATTGTATCCTTAGGGCCAGAAGAATCTAAAGTATCACCTAATCCACTTTCAGATGTAGTTAAGGAAGATTGCCTTAAACTCTCCTGATTTGTTGATATTACATTATTGATATTATTACTAGAATCCGAATGTATTGAACATCTGGACATATTAGGCATTGCAAGTATACCTGGTGCTATTTCATAACGACATTGTGACTTTTGTGAATAAGTATAATCTGTTTTTGGAAATTTGCTGAAATAATAAGAATAAACTTTTTTGTGAAAATATGAACCGATTGTTAGTTAAAGAAGTTTACAAGTACAGATTTGTTTACTTTAAAATGCTAATGAACAAATTGATATTGAACGATATTACGCATTTTTTTTTTTTTATTCTTTTTGAGTAAAATTTATTTACGTCTCCTAATTTATGAACGCAAACAAATATAGTGATAAGAGGTTAACATAACTATAGTTTAAAAGTAACTTTACTTACTTCCACCATTCTCCAGCTTGTTTATATATCTCATAGGCAGAACCTGGTCTACTTGGTAAGTCTTCTCTTTCTCCTTCTTCCGAAGAATAATCACTGCTGATTACTCTATGCGGTGTTATACTCTTACGCATTTTTTTTGGTGTAATATCGCTTGATTCTTCTTTGGTGTCATCTTGTCCGTTTAAAAATATTTGTCGTTTAGCTCTCTGACGTTCAGAACGTCGTTCTACTTTTTTAGATGCCATTGACACAGAACTATCTGATTGTTTATCTACATTTTCAGATATAATTTCTGATATAGGTTCTTGTACATTTTCATTTATTGTCAGTATATTTTGATCACGCACTTTGCTGACATTACCTGACCTAAAATTTAACCAGTAGAAAACAAAATAATCAACAACTATTCTATTTTGAAATAAATCATCTTATAATATTTTTCACAATACAAATATAACTGAATCATACATCGATCTACTACCCGATCTTGTTATAATTCTAGCTTCTGCAGGAGTATGCGATCGTTCTCTACTTATACTTCTTAAGTCATAACGATGTTCCGCTTGTTCGGTATCTACCAAAGTTTTATTTGATACCAATGGTGTATGAGAACGAGATCTACTTCTACTCCGTAATTCATAATGATGCTGTTCACTTTCCATTTTCCTGCCAAGTTATGAGTAATAATCTATTTACATAAATGAAATAAATAAAAAAACAATAATAATGATAACTTAATATTATGTCCTAATATTCTAATTTAAAGAAAATATAAGAGCTACAGAATGGTGTACCGTACTAAAGGCACACTCTGAGTAGACCAAAAATCTTTGGCTTGAATTAACAGAAACATATGTCTAAGTTTAGCTAAAAATAGTCCCCCTCCACTAAGGTGGGAAAACAGCCCTCTCAACTGAATTCCTATTTCTAGCCTCCTCTACCCTCATTCTCTTCTCTTCTCTTCTCTTCTCTTCTCTCTTTTTCTTTCTCTTTTTATCTCTTTCTCTCTCTCTCTCTCTCTCTCTCTCTCTCTTTATATATCTTCTTACTTATGATTTAGAAATTAAATTTAAGAATTAAAATCCCCAGAAATGAAAAATATCTAGAATTACACAAAACAAATTGTGTACGTGTGTATAACTATAATAAAATTATTACTATTAATGCAAAATATAATAAATATTCAATACAAATCTTAATGAAACTTTTAATAAATTCAAGGATAAATCTTGTTATGCACTCTATATATGTATAATGTAAAAAAGAAAAATCATTAGGAATATATTACGTGATTTAATGAAAATATTTTTAAATATTTCTAACGTTTGTTTTGAATTATCACTTGTTAAAAATATTAATCAAATACGCAAGAAAGAAATATATACATGTTGCATAACATTACATTCTAATTATATATAAATATACATCTTAGAATTTTTAATTGTATAATTTTCCAATTACGAAGAAAAAAAATTCTAATGCATTAATAATCAGAAACTTTCCGTTAAATGTAAAAACAAATTCAATATTTACCCACCTATGATACTTCTCAAAAACAAAATACTAATCCACTTAATATTTTTTATTCTCACATACTATCTCGCATGCACGCATTACATACGTGCGTGATCTTTAAAAGATAAACCGTATTTAACCTTTAAAACTGATTACAGATTACAAACGCCATCTCGTAAATAAAATCTAACAACGATACAAATATTGGTTAGATTCCTATCATAAAATTCAGACTACTTTTAAATGAATCTAATCTCAATTAAAATCTAATTCTATATACTAATATTATATATAAAATAGTTACTTACAATTGAACATATCTTTATTTTTTTAATAAAATAAAAGAAAAGAACTTTTTATAAAATTGGCGGTTTACTTTACACAATTTTCATTAATTAAGCACACATAAACACGACAAACACACACATACATTTATATTTAACGAGTATTTATATATATACATATATATATATGTATATATATGTATAAAAATATAAATTAAAACTATTAGACTAGATCGTTTCCTTTTTTGTGTTGCATTTACATATACGTTTTAACATAGAATTATTACGCATGAAAACTGACAAACTCTTGTTTTCTCTCTCTATCTCGTGCGTGTATGCGCGCGCATCATATATTTCGTAAGAAGAGTGGGTCTTTAAAGATAAGTAGTGGGGGAAGGAAGAGATAAAACTGTCGCCTAAAGAGTATGACGTAAATTTTGTATAAAAACCCCCATATATGAATCATGGTGTACCCGCTTAATATCCGCTTAATACCCGCTTTATACGTATACTTGGCATATTACATTAAATGCTATATGAGCAAAGATATAGAACATTCAAACAGATAAATTTTTACGACTTTCGTTTATAATAATAACAATAATAATTCTAATATATTTATTAACTATGCCTATACAAATGAAAAATAACTTAATTATACTTATACATTTAAATATAAGTTTTTATTAAAATTTTATTAAATCTTTCACTTTTTACAATTACTTTTGTAATTCACAATATTTTTTCGTTTATCTATTCTTACTAACTAGCTTATCATATTCTTATTCTCGTTAAATCTTAGTAAGTCGCTATCTTACTCTTATTACCTTGCTTATCTTTTTTTTTACTCTTACTGTACTTTTCCTACAACTATTTTGTTATTCCTCTTTCTGAATCTTGTCTTTAAGTTTCCTTGCCGCTTTATTTCACTTGTTTTCAAATAAATTCTACCTATATTATGCTTATTTACTTTCTTACATTCGCTCACTTATTTAAATCGAACGGTTTGTGGCTCATCATTTTGCTTTCTAAATAAATTCAGTCTTTTACATTAAGGTTAAGTGCATGCTTAAAGATCAAATTAATTTTATTGTAGATTGTAATTAAAGTGCAATGAGTTTCTTACTTTGCTCAAAAGAATAATAACAACATGAAATGAGCGAACAAATGACTATTTGTGGTGCATGCATAATTATGCATTTAGAAGTCGATAGTAACACTATTAGCGGATTAACTGGGAACTACAAGTCGAATTTAACCTAGTATTCGTTTCAACTTTGCATTTTTTTTTATTAATTTTATCAATTAAATTATTTCTCACATAAAAGTTATAATAATTTTTAATAATAATCGTTGTTTATCTTGTGATAATCATAGAAAATAATTAATATATATTTTTAATCGATCCGCATGAGTATAAACAAAAAATCATTTTTTTATGTAGTATACTAATCAATTGTGGTTCCTTGACTTCTTTCAGCTTTGTAATTGGTTAGTAAAGAAATCTCTTTTGTCATTGGCTATTAGTGTAACCAGTCTAGTTAATTCGAGGAAAAGAAACTTAACTGTATTACTTATAAACTGACGCGTTTAATCGATCTTCAAAATCTTTACCTTTCACGTTTGGTGTATGTAATATATATATATATATAATTATACATATATGTACATATATATAATATAACATAAGTGGAAATTAACATGTGAGATTAAAATTTTTCTTGAATCGATATGTTAGGATCGATCATATATCGATGTTTTTACGAGTATCGTTAAATTAATTCTCATAGAATGTTAGAATGATTCGGAAATGATCGGATCATCTTTAAATGTGAAATCTTTCAAGTGGTTGTCATTGTTTCAAGTTTTAACTTCATCCTTATTGATTCTTTTTATCGTGTAGTAGTGTGTGACGTCTAAACAGTGCGTATCGTAAACTTGAAAGTTTGGTTAAGAAAAAGTCCTGTAGTATGCCACAATTTCATAGAATTGAAATTAATAGGACGGAATGGGAGGTACCAGAAAGATATCAAATGCTTACTCCCGTAGGTTCGGGAGCTTATGGTCAAGTTTGGTAAGCGAGGAAAAATATATATATATATATATATATAATATAATATATGTAACATTGATCTAGTAGATAAATCATTAGATGATTGACACTACGATAATACGTTATTGTAAAAAATATTTTTTTTAATTTTATTCGGTAAAAATCTAATTTTATATATTATTTAATTAATGATAATATGTTAATATGTATGAGGTTGAGACATTAAATGTGTAACCATGAACCTATGGTTACCTTGACATTTTTTATTTTTCATTTGCCTCCTTTTTTATAATTTCATTTATTTAACTAATTTTTTGTAATATTACATTTTTTGTTTTCTTACTTAAAATATTTTGGAAAGTTGTAATAAACTAATAATTTTAGAACATCGTACGAATGTGCTATTTTAGTGTCAAGCTGAGTATAATTAGAATATTTGACAATACTTTCCACCAGCTTAAAATACCAAAGAAATCTATTTAAAACTTGTCTACGTTATAAGCTTTATGAACAATCATTTTAATCTTTCTTAATTTATATTTTGAATACTTTAAAATTTTCTTTTATAAATTTTTAGTTCTGCAGTAGATACAACAACCAATCAAAAAGTTGCTATAAAAAAATTAGCTAGGCCTTTTCAGTCAGCTGTACATGCAAAACGTACATACAGAGAATTACGTATGCTAAAACATATGAATCATGAAAATGTAAGTAAGAAAATATTTTGATTTGTCTTATATATTAAAGGGTTTTTAAATTTTTTCTAAAGCTTACATTGTTTAAATGCAGGTAATCGGTCTATTAGATGTGTTCCATCCATCTTCATCGTTGGAAGATTTTCAACATGTGTAAGTTTCTTTTATTACTAATATTGTTTAATAATTTTTATGCATAATGTAAATATTCGAATATAATTTTATATAAAAAATTTTTTATACAGCTACCTAGTCACACATCTGATGGGAGCAGATCTCAATAACATTGTTAGAACACAAAAGCTTTCAGACGATCATGTGCAATTTCTTGTATATCAAATTCTTCGAGGTTTAAAGTATATTCATTCTGCGGGTATTATTCATAGGGTATGATTATTACATTTAATTTAATGAATAACTTTTTGAAGATATAGATTATATAGTTTTTATCTTTTTTTAGGATTTGAAACCATCAAATATAGCTGTAAACGAAGATTGTGAATTAAAAATCTTGGATTTTGGTTTAGCCAGACCTACAGAGAATGAAATGACAGGATATGTTGCTACTCGATGGTACAGAGCTCCAGAAATTATGTTAAACTGGATGCATTATAATCAAACAGGTTAGTTGTAACTACTCTTGTAAATGTTATAAATCAATATAATTTTTTTTATTATTTTCAGTTGACATTTGGTCAGTTGGTTGCATAATGGCAGAATTACTTACCGGAAGAACTTTATTTCCAGGAACAGATCGTATCCCTTTTAAATTATATTTTTACTGTATTATATTTCATTTTTCTTTTAGATAAGATTTTGCTTTTTGTCACTAATATTAAGTCACCTTTATTAACGTTAACATTCTCCAGAAATCTGTCCTTGTTATTGTAGCATTGTCTCTTTCTTATCATTTACAATTTAATATTATTTATATTATAATATAGTTGTGCAATGCATCTAATCTACAAGCTATGCTTTTTGCTAAGGATCTACGTGGCTTACTAGTACACAAGATAATTGTAACGATATGCTGCACTTGCTTATATATCAGCGTTTTTTTTTTTCTTCATTTTTTCTCTTTCTCTTTTTTTTCTCATTTAACATAATGCCAAGGATTCATATCAAAGAAATTATATTGATATTTATATATATGTAAAACAAGTTAATTATAGAAGTATTTATTAAACTGCTTGATCTAACATAATTATTCAAGTAAATGAAAAAAAAAGTTTAGTGGAACCTTAGCAAGAGCAGATATTCATCAACTGAATTTAATAATGGAAATTCTGGGTACCCCACGCGATGAGTTTATGCAAAAAATATCGTCCGAATCGGTAAGTTGTTTCCATCTTCTTTTCATTACAGTACTTCGCTATTTTCATTATAAACATATGCCTTACTATCATTGTACATATTTATATAACACTCAAATTTTGACTACTTATATATTATTAATTAAATTGCTAAAACACGTGTAATGTGAATATATAAAAAGCGACTTTTTTTCTTTTTTACAAAATTAAATAACGCCATCTGCATGCTTCAAACTAATAATTATTTGCCAAGGAAACTTATAGCATGTTTCTAGATAAGTAGAAATCGATTGAACGATAATTTATTAATATATTTCTGAAGTAAATTATGCTTTATCAAACTTACCTTAACGCTAAGCAGACATTGACCACTTAACACGAGTTCTTGTGCTCTGTGGTATGCCCACAGAAGAAACTTTGAACAAAATTACCAGTCAAGAGGTAAATTAAAGTATTATTTGTAATCATTAATTTTTCATAACATTTGAATGTATTTTCAAATTTATAACATATTGTATAATTTTTATAAAGATATCAAAAACTTATGTATCATTTATTCATCATTTAAAAGTTATATTTTTATTAGCTTTTAATCCAAATAATATATAAACCAAAGTGTGTCCAGTAAATGGTAAGTAAGTGATAATCGATGTAAATTTTATTTACAGGCCAGAAACTATATACAAAGTTTACCGCCCTTGAAGAAAAAAAATTTTAAAGATGTATTTCGTGGGGCAAATCCTTTAGGTATTATATTTACCTTTAGAAATTAACTATGTCAAAACGAGCTCTTTGATTTATATTTAATGTAATCTGGACAAGAATTTAAAATCATAATAATATTTTTTACTTTATTCTCAGCAATAGATTTGCTTGAATTAATGTTGGAATTAGATGCTGAAAGGAGAATAACAGCGGAACAAGCACTAGCTCATCCATATCTTGCACAATATGCAGATCCAACAGATGAACCAGTATCATTACCGTATGATCAAAGTTTTGAGGATATGGAATTACCTGTTGAAAAATGGAAAGGTAATATAATTTATTTTCAAAAATGTTTTTTTATTCTGTTATATTTATCAAAAGAACATTTTTATTGTTTTAGAACTTGTTTATCATGAAGTGATCAATTTTGTACCTCAAACATTACCTGCGCTATCCTCAACTATTGAAGCAGCTACGTAGAATTTGACTAATATAGGGTAACAATTTTAAGCACATTGTAAGATAATACTAATATGGAAGATTTAAATTATATATATATAAATTATATATATATATATATATAATTTAAATCTTAAATAAATAAAAAAAAATATTTGTGTATATAATTCATAGTATAACGCAAAGTATTAAAGATAAAAAAAATGTATATTTTTATTAAGTTAAAAGTTAAATAATGATAAAAACACTAATACTTTCTGGAATATTGCATTAAAAACATTTCATTCCTAATATGTGCAATAATAATTTATCAAATATATTTCAAATAAAAAGAAATATAAGTAACTATGATATGTGTAACTATATGAATCATTCAAATTTTGGCGCGCTTGAACGGTGAAACTATGAGTGATTGCCAACATAAAAAAAATAAAATATGTTAGATCATACCCAATAGTTGGTAACATAATTTAAATTTAAGCTAACCTCACTCGGTTTTATAATTAAGTTCGTCTTTTTAACTAATGTAATGGATAAATAAGTGTATACAAGTTATATATGCATATATATATATATAACAAAATTTAATATAAGAGAGATGGCATTAAATATCTTTAAAAAGGTATAATTATGAAATTATTTCTTATATATCACATAATATAATAAATCATAACCTAAATATTAATTATATAGTAAACATATTTTAATAAAAATGAAATATTTTTAGGCAACAGCATTGCGTAATGGCATTTTAGCCAAAAATATATTATGCAGAAGATATTCTTTGTATGAGCCTGATTATTTGGAGGTTAATTTTTAATATTTATGTATACATACAATTTATGATATTTGTTTTTGATTTATATAATGGATTATATGTATACATATATATATATATATATTATGTTGTAGGCATTGAAACCAAAAGTACCAATTTATCCTATATTAAATGTACAAATTACGGGATATGTTTATCCTGTATTACAAAGTTATCAAAGTTTCATTTACAGAGTCGCTAAAATTATGGATATTGACGTAGATAATAGGTAATATTCTGACTTTATTTTTATTTGAAAATGCAAATAGATTTATTTTGATGTTTTTTCATTTGTTCATGTTATTTTCAGTTGGGCACTGCCTGCAAAAGAAATAAAAATTCAAAGGTATAAACCAAGAAGTACTGTTGTCGTTGCAGAATACAAACTTAATATTTATGAAAGGAATATACAATTAGCAGAGATTACAGCTACACAGTGTCCTTTACTAATTAGAATATTAGAAGCTACTTTACCAGAAGGAGTAAATTTAAATGTGAGCATTTTTGATCCCAATACAGAATTAAAACGTTATATACCAGATAAACAATTATTAGACATGAAAACACAGTTACAAGATTTAAAGAAAAAATAAATTATAATAAAGCATTGATATTAATATTAGTAATGAGACTAGATATGTCAAGAATATAACAAGTATGTTTTGTAAAAAGGTATTTATTATAAAACTTGATAAAAATTTACAAACACACATGCATGTGCAATGCGTTTGTTAACATATATAAAAACGACGATTTATATAAAATATTTTCAATATTAAATTAAATAATATTTTTTTTTAAAGGCAGTATTATTATTGTTACGTTGAGTATAATTATAACAAACCAAAGTGAACAACTTTTATTTTAGAACCTTCTTCAGATTTGGAAGATTCCTTTGAAATTTCATTATCTGCATCTTCTGTAAATCATAATTCATTTAATTTTGTATTATTCTTTCACTCATATTGTGTAACAATATATGCAGATATATATTACACGTTGCTTACTTGATAAAGGTTGAAAATCTTTTAAATAGTCTTCATTTCCCAGGCACAATGGTAAACTTTCTGCTAATTCACGTTTTGGATCTGTTACATGTAACTGTGTAACTGTTGAACGTCTCTGTCTGTGAGATTGATTCTGTAAATACACATGATAAGACAATTTTCGATGTTTTTTTTTTTATATTATTAAAAGTAAACACATCTCTTACCGTGCCAGGTACTAATATATGTGTAACTGTATCTGAAAATTTAACTTTTGGTTTCTCATTTGTGGACATTGGCGTATCTAGGAATGTGGGACACATAGAATAGGTTTTTGAATTGGAATTGGATGTATTTACAATAGGTAATGGGGGTATGTTGGATGATGTCTTAATTTCCTTACCAGTACTACTACTTATCTGTGACCCTATTTTGATATGTCTATTTTCGAGTAATCTACTTTGCAAATTATATGCAGAATGTGAATAACTCAAAGCATTTGTTGTGCCAATTTTGTTACTATGTTGCTTAGTAATATTCAAACTGTCGCAACTTCCATGATACGGTATATACGTAAGATCAGAATTAATTCTACAAGTTTTAGAATTACTATGAACACATTGATCTTGTAGAATGTTAGACGTAGAATTTTGTCTTTGCAAAATACATGGTGTTATATTCATTACCTTGGCAGATGAAATTTTTTGATTAGATTCGTCTATGCTCATTAATCCCAGAGTACTTTGAGAAAGCGAGTAATTTTTTCTTTGTAAATTTTGTAGGTAATTAGTAAAAGAAGATGTGATAGAAGGTGGTGGTGGAATTTCACTACTAGATTGTTTTTTGTTAATTTTTTGATGATGATCCATATAATCTTCAGCACGAAAAACTTTTATGTTACTGTCATATGTAGTAGGACTTTCAGAATATTTGTTTGTAGTAAATAACGTGTTACTCTTAATTTTATGAGATGTGGTAATTAGCTTATTTGCTTGTACAACAGTATTAGATGTATCTATTTGAGACGTAACATTACTCGATGAATCATTTGTTCTAATATTTGAAGAATAACAGAAAGGTGTACTATCACATTTTATATTCGAATCTGAATTATTATCAGAATTATTTGAAACTGAAGTGTTGCAAGTAATTGTACTGAAAGACGTTGACATAATATTATTGTCAACGTTACTCAAAGTTGGAATTAACGAGGAAGAAGGAACATTGTCCAATACAAATTCGTAGGTCGAATTATTAAAAGATGTCGATATAAAATTATTTTCTTCGGGTATAATTGTAACAGTATCTTCAACAGAAAGATCATTTGTGTATTGTGTATCATTTGTTCCTGACTTATTAACCATTAATTGCAATATTTCATCATGATGTTGACGATCAAGAGACGATGACTTTTGTTTACTAAGAGATAGATTTCCAAAAGAGGTGGTCATTAAATCTTCGGAAAATTTATTGTAAGGTTGAACTCTGTTGATTGAATTTACCGTTGATATTGATGTTAAATTTGGACGGGTCACATATGTCGGTGTACTAAAAGATGTTGACGCAAAGAAAGTATTAGATACTTGTATATGTGAGGAAGAATCGTTAAAATTAGTATTTGCTAATGTGTTACTGGGTGTATTAAAAGATGTGGAAATAATACTGTAGTCAGATTTATTACTAGAAGGATCATCGTTCGGTGATGTCGGTAAAAGAGTTTTGTTATCGTAATAAGAAGGATAAAGAATTGGTAAGGGTGGAATATGGTTGTTGGAATTTTTTTTATAATTGTATCTTTTGGGATACTTCGAATTAGTTTCATCTTCCTTTGTCGAATTTTCACTTTCGTTGCTATAAGATTCCTCTCCTTTATCGCTCGTTAATTCAGAACATATAGAACAAGATTCTCGGGAACATGTTGAATCTGTAATAATTCTTTATATTATATAACTATAAATAATAATTAAATGTATCAATCTAATATTTTTTTTACAAATGAAATTTTTTTTCATTTTCTTACGCGATGAATTGCAACTATTAGATCGGCTTAAAATTTGTTCAGCTTTTTCCTTTGCCGCATTTGCCATTTCCATATCATTTAAAACCAAAGCATAGAAATGAATATCCATAAAAAGATCATGATCGTTTAAATCTATGGCAAGTCTGAAAGCTTTCTCAAACATACGATATCTAATAAAAAGTATGTTACTGTAATAAAACTTTGGTTTATTATGTAACACAGCCTATCATATTATTTTGGTACCTTAGTAAATGATGAAAAAATCGTCTTGTTAAATCTCTTACTTCGTCACCATACTCATCTTCGATTGCTTGACTTATTGGTCTAATTGGAACATGAAAACTACCCAATGCATTTTGTATTAAATCTAGATAAAGTTATCACAGATATATATTAATTTATACATATATAAAGTTTCTAATTAATTAATTCCTTGATTTTTTCTATGGTCTACTAATTAATCCAAGACTATTTACAATGTTGCTTGAAAATATCGCCGCAGTAGCGATAATGGAGTGCAAAGGATTAAAAAATAAAATCTAATAATAAATATAACGCATAATATATCTTCTTACTTTCGTGTTCAGCTGTTAATGGTAACTTGAATAAATAATTTAAGATTTGGTTGAGAGAATGCATACAAATACGTGGATGAGTATCCCAATTTAAACGTAACAACAAAGATGTGGCTTGTTCAATTTGAGAAAGTATTAAATACTTTCTTACTAATGTATCTCCTGAAAGATTATCTCCTTCAACTACTCTAATGACTCCTATTGGACCCCTATTAGTATATTAGATTTTAAATATACATATATATATTTCTTTTTGAAGAGAGAGAAAAAATGATATAATAAAAATTTGTTACTACTCACCGCTCAAAAAGCAATAAAAACAATGAATCTCCATAACTATAATAATTAATATGAGAATTTAATTGGTTTCTTTTATTCCATTCCATACGTACTAAGGCTGGTTGGCTCCTATAAAAAATACAAAAAAAATAAATTGTTATTACATCTATATTAGTACAGAATATACAGTTTTTGTATAAAGAAAAAGTATAAATTTTTAACACCTGAAGTAAGATGATAAATCAAGAATATTTGCTGGTGATGTTTCATCATTTAACATTTGATTTTTAATACAATGCAAAGCGATGTCAAAATGTTGAAATTGGCCTCTATCATTTCCAATAGAAAATATCATTCCATCATTATGCCAGGATGCGAGTGTTGGTATCTTAGAAAATAAATATATTAAAAACTAAAGCAAAATCTCAAATATTTGATAGTTTAGATCAAATGAATATTGAGAAACTTACAAAACCAGCTTTTATATTAATAATTGTAGCTTTTGTTTCATCGTACAACATTACAGAACCGTCTATGCAGCATAATAATAATAACTCTTGATTAGGTGAAAATTTAACACAACTAGTATGAGTTGGTAAAGGTATGGAGATAATGGCAATTCTCTGTAATTTGTCTTGTTGTGATACTTCATATGTACGCCATTCAATCGTAACTTCACCCTGTATTATAGATAATACATATTATTTTATTCTTAAGAATAAAAATGATATATAGGTATGATCGACAACATTCTAAATTATTACCTTTCTTGATACTTTTTGTTCTACAGAATGAATGACATTTTCATGATGTATATCAAATTTAATACATAAAGGATCAAACTCAGTGCGTACATAATATATTAAGTCCAATTTTGTTCTAAAAATAAAATCATACTAAAACTTTAATAAAAAAAAAAAAAATAGAAAATATACTAATTCTTCTTTTAAGATAAACAAAAATTCAAGAAAATGTATGCAACAAATAGAGATAGCGTGCTATTAATGATCTAATCAAAATAAATGAAAAGTGTAGAATAAGGGAATAGCACTTAGAATGTATATTTTCTACTTACAAATAAATACCGTCTCGACATACCCAGTAAGACGATAAAGGTGTATGTTTGCACGATCATGTTCCTTGACTACAGGACTCCATGGATAAACTTCGTTCATTGTAGATTTCCACCATATTAATATCTACAGAATCATGCACTTTTGCAATAAACATAAATTAGAAGCAACATATGCACATAAGCATAAATATCAAAGTTATTTTAAACTAATATTTAAATCTAATCTTTATAAGAGAATATATGAACCATACCAGATCACCTGGCTTGTTGATTTGAATCTTTTTATCAAGTCTGCGTCCATTAGAACCAAATAGATCACTCGTACTTAATTTGGGTTCCAATTTACTAATTTTATCAAAAGGATGTCTTCTAGATTTTGTAAAATACACAGTTGTTATCTGATTATCATTATACATACAAATCAAATGAGTCTTTGTAATCGTCACTGTAAAAGTTAAGGACTTATTTTAATAATTTACATTTTACTATATCAATTTTCTTGAAAAAGATATAATTTAAATTTTTACCATCGGATATATGATCACATAACTTTCCCATGAGATACTTATCAAAAGTACACTTAACGATATCAGCGGTTTCAACATTAATTTGTATATAAATCAAGAGGCCATTGCTTAGCATAATTTGCAGAATACTGTGATCGTTCCACTGACAATAAATAGTTGAATTATCTCTGAGTTGTTCCTTGATAAATAAAAACAAATAATCTTTAATCGAATAATTATAAATGTAAACATATAAGAAAATTACTATTTTATAAAATATTGTACGTACTTCCAAATGTTTGATAGCATCTTTCAATTTATTTCCTTTTTTGTTCGTTGGAACATAAGTCATACCTCGTTT